ATTCATTTTCATCCACTTTTCCGAGGCCGGGTCGTGGGGGCAGAACCCCAGACTTCCCTTTCCCTAGACTCGTTCTCCAGGTCCTCCAGGGGGATCCCATGACAACCAGGAGACATAGTCCCTCCAGTGTGTCCTGGGTCTTCCCTAAGGGCCTCCTCCCTGTGGGACATCCCTGGAACACTTCCCTAGGTAGCCATCCAGGAGGCAACTGAAACAGATGCCTGAGCCACCTCAGCTGACATCTCTCAATGTGGAGGAGCAGCGGCTCTACTCTGAGCTCCTCCTGGGTGACAGAGCTCCTTACCCTATCTATAAGGGTGCGCCCTGCCACTCTGCGAAGGAAGCTCATTTCAGCCACTTGTATGCAAGATATTGTCCTTTCGGTCATGACCCAAAGCTCATGACCAAAGGTGAGAGTAGGAACGTAGATTGACCTGTAAATAGAGAGCTTTGCCTGTAGGCTCAGCTCCTTCTTTACCACTGCACCAATCCCCCCTGTCAATCCAACGTTCCTTCCATCCTTCACTCGTGAACAAAACTCCAAGATACTTGAAGTCCTCCACCTGGGGTAAGGACTTTCCTCCAACCAGGAGATGGCAAACGGTGGAGCACCATAGTGCTGATTCTCATCCCAGCCTCGTCACACACTGCAGCAAACCATCCCAGTGCATGCTGAAGGTCCATGTTTTCGATGAAGCCAACAGAACAACATTGTCTGTGAATAACAGAGGTGAAATCCTGTGGTCCATTGTTATTATGGCAATTTCTGCAGTTGTGCAATACTGTCTTCATACCAGTAGTGATTAAAGCTGATTTTTGCTTTGTTGCAAAACTATTTTTATAGTATAACTGTGTATTGTTTTGTTTTAGTCACAATAGTAGCTCAATACACAACAGTAGCTCGATAGTGGTCCAATTAATTTGCTGTGGATGGCACATATATGTCTCTAAGATGTATTTTAAACATAATTCCTTACATTTATAACACTTTTCTGGGCACTCAAAGCAATTTACACAATGGGGGGGGAATCTCCTCATCCACCACCAGTGTGCAACATCCACCTGGATGACACAACGGCAGCCATTTTGTGCCAGACCCCACACCACACACCAGCTGATTGGTGGAGAGGAGACAGAGTTGAAACCAATTGGAATATGGGAATGGTTAGGACAGAGGCCAGTTGGCAGATTTGGCCAGGATGCCGGGGTTAAACCCCTACTCTTTTTCGAAGGACATCCTGGGATTTTAAACGACCATTGAGAGTCAGGACCTCGGTTTAACGTCTCATCCGAAAGACGACGCTCACTGAGCAGTATGGCGTCCCCGTCACTATACTGGGGCATTAGGACCCATACAGACCGCAGGTTGGGTGCCCCCTGCTGGCCTCACTAACACCACTTCCGGCAGCAACCTAGCTTTCCCATGTGGTCTCCCATCTAGGTACTGACCGGGCGCAGCCCTGCTTAGCTTCAGTGGGCGACCATGTGAGAGTTGCAGAGAGCTAGCTGGCGGCTTTTAATCTTCTGTTTTTTTAGTTTATAGACTGAACATCATTCAGTCTAAAAATGTCTGCTCTGTTTACAAGTCTGATAAAAACCTTTAAAGGGTCTGTTGGATGAAAATTTCTGGTTTTAAACATCTTAAGGATCTGAAAGTTGATGTCGAACATCTACCGTATGCAAACACAAACATCAAATGGATGTTCACACTAAGTGTGTGTGCTAACAGGGACTGTGGTGTTTTTTAAACAACAATTGGTTGTTTTTTCTCATATAGTAACCAACACCGTAGCCCTTCATGCTGACTGACAAAAAAGACTAGCATACTTGTTTTGGTCTGCCATGGCAGGTTTTATTACATCCAACATGTTGGCTAATGAACAGATATTCTTTTATACAGAACTCTTAAACGTGGTGACATGTAAGAGAAACAATGGTGTTGTACAATTGTTTCCTCGTTTTCATGTAAATCCCATGAGGGTAAAATCTCAGTGAAAACCAGGTCAATTAGAACAAAACAACAACTCTGATGATTCACATGGGGTCATTAATATGCACAGGCTGTGTTAAATTGGCCACAACGCTTTCTAGCGTGATTACAACCATGATACTTTACCCCTATTTTTAAGTTGATCTAAGCTTGTATTAATATGTGTGTGGGAGTCCTATTTTGAAAACAGAAGAATAAAAAGTTCCAGTTTTGTGAAGCAGGCAGCCATGCATGGTCATAAAAGGTTAACAGCTCCCCAGTAAGCAAAATGCAGGATAAACTGATTAAAAATGTATTCAGCACCATAGACATGAAGTCTGTTTAATTATTAGTTTCACGTGTATATTTTAGTTTAATGTGTATATTGTGAAATTTGCTGGATGTGTTTGTAATGGGGTAACAGACACATGTAAACAGCTAAATATATGTGCTTAAGGCGTGTTTATGCATCATGTCATATCACTTAGCTCTTACTGTCATTTTCTGGACTGAAATGATGCCAATAATCTTATTTAAACTCTTCTTTTAATGCAGAGGTTGATATTACAGGGGTTAAACATTACAAATACATTACTATTAGTGGGGAAGTAACGTAGTGTGACATGTTTAATCCATATAAGAATATTAATGTACAACACAGGCTTCGTTTAATTAACCACAACGATTCCAAGTGAGATTACAACAGTTATGTTTTTTCCTTTGTTTTTGAGTTGATCTAAGCTTGTATTTATGTGTGAGGGACTCCTATTTTGAAAACTAGAGACTAAAAAGGAATAGTTTTGTGAAGCAGGCATCCATGCATGACCACAGAATGTTTACAGCTCCTCAGAAAGCAAAATGCAGGATATACAGATTGTAAATGTATTCAGCACCACCCCAAAGAGGCGTAAGGACTGTTTAATTCTTAGTTTATTTGTATATCGTGACATTTGCTGCATATTTTAGTAATTAGGCAACAGACACATGTAAACTGCTAAATATTTGTGCTTAAGGCGTGTTTATGCATCATGTCATATCTCTTAGCTTTTACTGTCATTTTCTGGACTGAAATGATGCCAATAATCTTATTGAAGCTCATCTGTTAATGCAGAGTTTGATATTACAGACGTTAAAGATTACAAATACATTACTATTAGTGGGGAAGTAACGTAGTGTGACATGTTTAATCCATATAAGAATATTAATGTACAACACAGGCTTCGTTTAATTAACCACAACGATTCCAAGTGAGATTACAACAGTTATGTTTTTTCCTTTGTTTTTGAGTTGATCTAAGCTTGTATTTATGTGTGAGGGACTCCTATTTTGAAAACTAGAGACTAAAAAGGAATAGTTTTGTGAAGCAGGCATCCATGCATGACCACAGAGTGTTTACAGCTCCTCAGAAAGCAAAATGCAGGATATACAGATTGTAAATGTATTCAGCACCACCCCAAAGAGGCGTAAGGACTGTTTAATTCTTAGTTTAATTTGTATATCGTGACATTTGCTGCATATTTTAGTAATTAGGCAACAGACACATGTAAACTGCTAAATATTTGTGCTTAAGGCGTGTTTATGCATCATGTCATATCTCTTAGCTCTTACTGTCATTTTCTGGACTGAAATGATGCCAATAATCTTATAAAAGCTCATCTGTTAATGCAGGGTTTGATATTACAGACTTTAAAGATTACAAATACAGTACTATTAGTGGGGAAGTAACGTAGTTTGACATGTTTTATCCATATGAGAATATTAATATGTACACCCCAGGCTTCGTTTAATTAACCACAACGATTCCAAGTGAGATTACAACAGTTATGTTTTTTCCTTTGTTTTTGAGTTGATCTAAGCTTGTATTAATATGTGTGGGGGACTCTTATTTTGAAAACCAGAGACTAAAAAGGAACAGTTTTGTAAAGCAGGCATCCATACATGACCACAGAGTGTTTACAGCTCCTCAGAAAGCAAAATGCAGGATATACAGATTGTAAATGTATTCAGCACCACCCCAAAGAGGCGTAAGGACTGTTTAATTCTTAGTTTATTTTGTATATCGTGACATTTGCTGCATATTTTAGTAATGAGGCAACAGACACATGTAAACTGCTAAATATATGTGCTTAATGCATGTATATGCATTGTGTCATATCACTCAGCTCTTACTGTCATTTTTCCAGAGGGAAACAATTCCAATCAACTTCATAAAACTCATCTGTTAATGCAGAGGTTGATATTAATTACTGTCTAGGTTTTTTTAGATGTTAAAGATTAAAAATGCATTACTATTAGTGGGGAAGTGTAGTAGCGTAGTGTGACACTATTCTAGTTCATGACACAAACGTAAAGGTCAACAATGTCATAATCTGACACAGTAGATATTATCATAACAACTAATGTGTAGAAATACACATGTGAATTGCTGAATATTAGTTTAATGCGCATTTATGCATTGTGTCATATCGCTCATCCTTTACTGTCATTTTTTCCTGAGTGAAAAGATGCAAATAAACGTTATAGAACTCATCTGTCGTTGATGTTAATTTCTGCCTGTGTTTTCATTGACGTTAAAAGATTAAAAATGCATTGCTATTGGTGGGGAAGTAACGTAGTGTGTCATTTTTAATCTCTATGAGATCATTAATATGTACAACCAGGCTTTGTTTAATACTACAAGCAAGATCACAACAGTTATATTTTTTCCTCAATCTTTAAGTTATCTAAGCGTGTATTAATGTGTGTGGGACTCTTATTTTGAAATCAGAAGACTAAAAGGACCAGTTTTGTAAAGCAGGCAGCCATGCATTACCACATAGTATTTACAGCTCTTTAAAAAAGCAAAATGCAGGATATACGGATTAAAAATGTATTCATATTACTATTAGTGGGGAAGTAACTGTCTCACTAGTTTATGACGCATATGTGAAGGTAAAAAATGTCATGATCTGACACAGTAGTGATTATCATAACAACTATTGTGTCTTAAAATCCAGTATTGGACTAAAATGTATCACTTGTTTACTGGCAGGTCTTGGCTCCGGCTATTGAATGGTTGGATTATCTGAACTCAGTACTTTCACCGCTGGAGCTGAACGACACAGAACCGGTGGTGGTGTATGCTAAAGAGTACATGCAACAAGTTTCAGAGCTCATCAACAAGACCGACCACAGGTATGGCTGTCTCTGTGGTTAAAGCTAATCAGAGTTCAGAGAGAGAACGTCCCCTCGGAGAGCCGCTGTGTTTAGACTGTGTATCAGAACATTCAGTGCTAATAACAGCTCCTCGCTCTCTCTCTCTCTAGCTCACTGTAAGCATATTAATACAGCTCGGCTAACACTCCTTCCTTCACTCCCTGTATAAATAAATGATCACACATTCAGGAGTGGTCCCCTTTTTTAGATATGTGGATGGATTCTTTCTCTTTCTTCTCTAGTCTTCTGAATAATTACATGATCTGGAATCTGGTGCAGAAAGGAGCGTCCAGCCTTGATCAGCGCTTTGAAAATGCTCAGGATAAACTGCTGGAGAGCCTCTATGGCACCAAAAAGGTGCGTGTGTTTGGAGTGTATAAATATGGCTAGGAACTATACTCGCATTCTGGTGTAATAATCAAGGAATTTTGTTGCAGTACCACGGCTGAAGTACGCACAATGATATTACTCAGCACTTTTTCTTTGTTTTTTTAGCTGGGGACTATTTGCAGGTGCTGCGTAATATCATTGTGCCTACTTCAGCCATGGTACTGCAGCAGATATCCTTGATTATTGTGCTGGAGTGTGAATATAGTTTTACAAATCTACAGCAACTGCGTGATGCTATCATGTCAATATGGAGCAAAATCTCTGAGGAATATTTCCAGTACCTTGTTGGATCTATGCCACGAAGGATTAAGGCAGTTCTGAAGGCAAAAGGGGATCCACCCTGGTAATAGTAAGGTGTACCTAATAAAGTGGCCGATTCGTGTATACAGTATTGATGCTAAGCTAAAAGCAGCTGAACACCATCTGAATAGATTCAATAAAGGTAAAACTCAACTGTTTTACTCTAGGTGACTTGAGCCTATTTCAAAAAAAGTGAAGTAACCTATAATTTGACTACTATAATCTCGACATGTGTAGATTTAAGATTTGAAGTACATCATAACTGCTCATTCAGTACTATTAAATGACCTTCACTGTACATGTATATTATATTGACAGAATCATGTTGAAAATCTGGCAGTCCTTTTGTGCTTTTATGACTGCTCCTTTGAGGTTGCCAGATAAGCTCTCCCGTGTGTAATTTATCAATCTGTCTGTTTTACATTCAGTCTTGTACTCCGCGCTGGCAGACGTGCATTGGAAACACAGACGACACCCTCGGTTTTGCACTGGGAGCTCTTTTCGTCAAAGCCACCTTCGACAAACAGAGCAAAGAAATAGTGAGTTGCTTCATGTGTCGTATTACAGTTGAAGTCAAATGTATTAGCCCGTCTGTACTTATATTTGTACTTATCTAAATATTTCTCAAATGATGTGTAACAGAGCAAGGAATTTTTCTCAGTACTTCCTATAATATTGTTTTTTTTTTCTGGAAAAAAGTCTTATTTGTTTTATTTCGGCTAGAATAAAAACAGTTTAGAATTTTTAAACATTTTATGGTCAATATTATTAGCCCCCTTAAATTTTTTCTGATTGTCTACAGCAGGGGTGCCAGAGCCCGATACAGGCCCCATGAAAGCGTTTTCAAAGGACGAAAGTGAAGAGTTGGGGCAGGGGAGTTGTGGGGTTGTAGTTGTGGGTGGGGGAGATGGTTAAGTGATGGTTGAATAGAATGATTGGAAATAAAAGAGCGGGGTATCGCGGACGAAAGTGAAGAGTTGGAGCACGATGGTGTCATGTGAATAGTGGACAGGTGGAGGGTGGTGAGAGTTGTCTCGGACGAAAGTGAAAAAAGCAGGGGGTTGTTGTCGTAGATGAAAGTGAAAAGGGGGGAGTTGTTGGGGATAAAAGTGAAGGGCAGGGGGTGGACGAAAGTAAAGGGGGGGGTTGTTGCGGACGAAAGTGAAAAACGGGGGGGGGTGTCACGAACGGAAGTGAAAAGCAGGGGTGGTGTTGTTGCAAACGAAAATAAAAACGAGAGGGAGTGTTGCGGATGAAAGTGAAAAAGGAAAAGGAGGGGGGGGGGTTGTCCGGATAAAAGTGAAAAACGGGGGAGTGTTGCGGGCAAAAGTGAAATAGAAGGGGGTGTTTGTCACAGGCGAAAGTGAAAAGCAGGGTGGGGAGGTGTTGCGGACAAAAGTGAAAAGGTGGGGGTGGCGAAAATGTAAAGCAGGGGCGCTGTCGTGGACAAAAATGAAAAAGGATGGAGGGGGTTTGTCAGGTATGGAAGTGAAAAATGGGGAGGGAAGTGAAAGGGGGGACACGAAAACTGACAAAGGGGGGGTGTTGAGTTGAGGATGTTGCGGACAAAAGTCAAGGGGGGGGTGTTGCGGACAACAGTTGGGGGGTTGTCGTGGACAAAGTGAAAAGCGGGGGGAGTGTTGCGGAAGAAAGTGAAAAGCAGGAAAAAAGGATGTCGCGGACGGAAGGGAAGAGTGGAGGGGTGTTGTTGTTGATAAAAGTGAAAAGTGGGTGGGAAAAGGGGTGTCATTGTGGAAATTGAAGGGGAGGGCTTGTCGCGAAAGGGAAAAAGGGGGGTGTTGTTGGTGTCGCAGACAAAAATGAAGGGGGGGGGTCGCAGACGATTTGGTGAAAAGCAGGGAAAGGGATGTCGCGGATGGAAGGGAAGAGTGGAGGGGTGTTGTCGTTGATGATAGTGAAAAGCAGGTGGGAAAATGGGGTGTCATTGTGGAAATTGAAGGGGAGGGCTTGTCGCGAAAGGGAAAAAGGGGGGGTGTTGTTGGTGTCGCAGACAAAAATGAAGGGGGTGGTGGTGGACGAATTGAAGGGAGGGCTTGTCGAAGATAAAAGTAAAAAGGGGGTGTTTGGTGGGGGTGTTGCTGATGACAGTGGGGGGGGGGCAGTAGTTGTCGTGGACAAAACTGAAGTGTCATCATACAATGACTTGCCTATTTACCCTAACTTTCCTAGTTAATTAACCTAGTTAAGTCTTTACATTTCACATTAAGCTGAAAACTAGTATCTTGAAAAATATGGAGTACAATATACTGTCATCATGGCAAAGATAAAATAAATAAGTTATTAAAACTATAATGTTTTTAAACATCTTCTTTCCGTTTAGCGGAAATTAGGAAATAAATATACAGGGGGGCTAATACTTCTGAATTCAACTGTAAGATAAAAAAAAAAACATTTGCTGAATGTTGCACTGAAGATTTGTTTAATTTAGGACCTCAACGGTGGTGCGTTTTTGCCCTCATGTGGCCGTAATGTGAACTCCACAGTTCACAACCTCATGTTTTCTGTCATAACGCAGGCAGAGGGGATGATCAATGAAATCCGCACGGCTTTCAAAGGCGCGCTGGATGATTTGAAGTGGATGGATGAACAGACCCGACAAGCTGCCAAGGACAAGGTGAGAGAGAGAATGAGATTTGCAGCAGCATGACTGGATCACCAAAACTTATGGATTTGCCTGAGATTCAAGAAGGAGAAAAAAAAAACAGCTTAACTGTAAACACTTCGCATCGCTTGCCAAGAAATCAGGATAACGTGTCTTTTCTGGCTGTAGGCGGATGCCATCTATGACATGATCGGATTTCCAGACTTCATTCTGGACTCCAAAGAGCTGGATGATGTGTATGATGGGGTGAGTTAAGCCAAGAGCTTTGCTTTTAATCTTTAAATCTTGAAAAACTTTCTGCAGGTTTAACTTCATTTCAGCGTGTCTTGGATTTATTCATACACACTCAAAACTGTATCATTTTGCTGCTTGTTCAAACTATTTATTAATTTCTGAGATTTTTTTTGGGATAGCTTAATAGTTTTATGTTTGATCATCTTATATTTGTAAAAATGGTTAAGTTAACTTAATCGATTTGTGTTGGGACAACATGGAGGAATTGTGTGGAAGCAGATGTGCTTTTAAACACTGTAAAAATACATAATTCCTTCATGTTGTCCCAACACAAGTCAATTAAGTTAAAGGTGCTGAATCTAAGTTTTTGACTCTTTTAAAGCGTAACAATCCCATAATATGTTTGCAGATATTCCAGAAACATGCTAATGCCTAGTTCAGACTGCGTGATTTTAGCCCCGATTTTGGCTCGCCGACAGGTTTTGAGAAATCGCCGACAAATGCCTGAAATCACAGGCAAATCGCTGCTCGTGCACGTGAGTGACAATCACACAGTATGAACTGTCAAAGACGCGATCTGAGAGAATCACCGATGAGTCGCCGATGCCTGTGAGATATTTGGCGTGCTGAATATCTGGAGCTGTCGGCGATTCAAATCATGCCGTGTGAATTGAGTTTTGACTGAAAATAACATCAGCGATCGCCTACAGCCAATGAGAGATCGGCATTCACTTGTGTGTGCGTGTGTTTATACCAAGCGGCAACCTCCCGCTCTCCCTCAGGAAGCCAATACGGAAGTAACTAAAACTGCAATTCATCCGAAATTCCGCTAGTCCTGGCCGCTCCTGGCTCCAAAACAGAGCAAATTTCAATTGAGCCCACTGTTAGAATGGCCAACTTTACAGCAGAAAAAAAGGTGTTTACAGCCTGGTACAAAAAAAGATTTTGGTTAATACAGCTAATATTACCCTTCATGACAACTGTGAGGGGGGTGAATTTTTTTAAAACTCATCCGTTTCCTTTATATTAAGTTATATTAAGTTTGCATAATTATGGGCGTGGCCACTTGAGTGACAGTTAGGTCTCGCTGGTCGCCGTCACGTCACCTCTGCAGATTAGCGACTGAACTCGGCATATTTATCGTATTTCTATGTTGTTTTATGTGGCTTTACACAGTCAACTGCCTTTTGGACTTGTTTCCCACAATTATTAGATGGCATGGCATGCTGAGGGCACTTAATTGTGCTCACAAACCATTCACGTGGCCTCCGTTTCCCATGTGAGTAAAGTTATATACTTATATACCATCTCTATACATGTATTTGTTTTATTTAAGATCATTTATCGTTTATATTTGTACTTAGAGCAGTTATGCACTCCAGAATCTGACAAATTGATTAGCTGTAGGCTCTAGATCAGTCATCTGAAGCGCTGTCATACAGTGTTATGCTGGATTTCATCAATAGTCTTACATTAACTAACACAGACTATATCTGAAGTGTTTGTAAGTAATTCGCGTTTTCCTCCTGTTGAAAAACGTCATAAGAACAATGTTCAGTGGCTCAATGTATTACAGCAGTGTTTTTAAAAGTCTAAACACTTGATTGATATAGTGTACAACCAAGCACAAGTGGTCAGAATACAAACGAGTCACAGGTGATAAAGTATTAAGCGTTCTCTCAAAGTAAAGTGTATCTGAACCAGGTCCAAGCTAAATTCTAGCAGGTGTCAGTAGCTCCGCTCACTCTCCGCCTCTTTGCCCTTGTTTGGTATCCCGCCGTCGGTGTGATGACGCGTGACCAAAATGGCGACGGTTGGCCGCGCCTACTTGTGGCTTCTTTTGCGCTCTTCAGAAACCTATGGGTGACGTCACGGATACTACGTCCATACATTTTACAGTGTATGGTGTATACCTGCTGCAGGCCAGCGGGAGGCTGGAGGAGAAGTTAAAAGCGCTCATTTTCGGTTTATTTGGACCCACGAAATGGAGGAAAAACTAGTCGAGGTTTGACAAGGCTCAGGAGCAACTGTGTCTGTTTGACGTTTCATACAGAAAGAAAATAGTTTATTATGAATGTTGAGGAGAAATGGCTAATTCCCTTTAAACCCAGGTGAGCAAACATGTACATGTTAAAGGCTTCTTTCTCATTATGTAGTTAATAACAAAAGATATACGACGTGTTTTTGGCTGTGAGACGTCGTTTGGACGAAGTTGTCGGCGATTCTTCCTATAGTAAAGTCATGCAATGTGAAAGTCCCTGTCACCGATCCATATTGCAGTGTAAACAAAGCAGCGACGAAACGCTAGCCCAGATAGTCATGCAGTGTGAATACATCTGTGACACGACTACTTTGAAAATCATGCAGTCTGAACTCGGCATAAGTGATCATTCTTGTTTATCTGAACAACAATGCCGAAGTCAGATATTCGGCTTTGTAAATGTGTGTTACGTGCTAGAACGTCTGTCTTTGTTTTGGTTCCCTTTAACCCGTCCAGTGCCAGCTTAGCCAGCTTATTTCAGCACTCGGGTTGCCATGATGAAAAGCAGCCTATTCATTCATTCATTCAGTCAGTCAGGATGGCTATGAAAGTATGTGTCTGTGGCCAAAATGCAACCTCCGGTTGACAGTAGCTGCACATGGGGGTGATGCACACGGGGCTTCAGCGTCAACGCTCCCCATTCACTTTGAATGGGTGACGTCAGGCGTTGCTAGCTGCAGAAGTTGGGACTCGCTCAACTTTTCAAGCGCTGACGGAAGCATCAGCCAATCAGATTGCTGTATGCAATCTCACCAGCTAGACAGTGGCCTATTGCTGACTCAATTTCATTTTCTGACGCTGCTATGACGATCGCGTTAGCCCCAACTTCAGACACGCCTTCAGTCAAGCGTTGACGCTGAAGCCCTGTGTGAATAGGGCATCAGAGTTCAACATAAGGTGGTTAGTAGTTAGCAAATAATATAAACATTATGAATGTAAGTGAAGTTTTTCAAGCTAATTTCGAGAGGAGCACGTGATATAATTGAGTGCAGCTGGCCTCCCATCTATTCAGTTGTTTTGGCTTAAAGACATTTAAAATAAACTGTTCTTTGCATACAAGTAAAAATACTAAAACTACACACACTGCAGGAGCCAGAGGAAAATGCTCACTTTAGCAGACAAATTCCGAAGGCACTCAAAAGTTTCTGTATCCAAATTCTTCATAGAAATAACATCTATACGTCAAATGTACTTCTAAATTGATTATAAATTGTGTTTTATTTAATCTTTTTACTCTGTCATTGAATATGTGGGTGTCAGTTATGTTGTTATTTCAATTTATGTAATTATGATAGCAATTTAAAGTTTTTAATTACCAACGCAAATATTTAAAAATTTTTATATTATATTATATTATATTATATTATATTACATTACATTATATTATATTATATTATATTATATTATATTATATTATATTATATTATATTATATTATATTATATTATATTATATTCGTTTACATTATATTATATTATATTATATTATATTATATTTGTTTACATTATATTTTATTTTATTATATTATATTTTATTTTATATTATTATATTTTATTTTATTATATTATATTAAATTATATTATATTAAATTATATTTGTTTACATTATATTTTATTTTATTATATATTATAATATATTCTATTATATTATATTCGTTTACATTATACTTTATTATATTATATTATATTATATTATATTATATTATATTATATTATATTATATTATATTATATTATATTATATTATATTATGTTATATTTGTTTACATTATATTTTATTATATTATATTATATTTTATTTTATTATATTATATTAAATTATATTATATTATATGAAATTATATTTGTTTACATTATATTTTATTTTATATTATATTATATTATATTATATTGTTATATTTGTTTACATTATATTTTATTATATTATATTTTATTTTATTATATTAAATTAAATTATATTATATTATATGAAATTATATTTGTTTACATTATATTTTATTATATATTATATTATATTATATTATATTATATTATATTATATTATATTATATTATATTATATTACATTATATTATATTATATTATATTATATTCAATCATTAAAGGAATTTTTTTACATATAATGTGTACATTTTGTTATCATTTACTCATCCTCCATCCAGTTTCTTTCTACTGTTGAACACCAGGGAAGATATACTGAAGAATATTGGAAACCAGCAGCCATTGACTTCTATAGTACTTTTTGTTTCTAGTATGGATGCCAACTTCTGCTTTTTGGCCGTCAACATTCTTCAGAATATCTTATTTTGTGTTCGACAGAAGAAAGCAACTCATAAAAGAATGAGTAAATGAGTACGTCTCATTTCAGGGTGAACTATTCACTTAAAATAGTTTGTTTCATTGATACAATCCAACAATCTGTTTTTCTTTTAGTATGAGGTTACGGAGGACAACTTCTTCCAGAACATGATTAACTTCTATAACTTCTCAGCACGAGTGATGGCAGATCAGCTCCGCAAGCCACCAAACAGAGACCAGTGAGTTTAACAGTGTGTGTTAAGAGAGAAAACAAATCCATGCATGTTGTGTATGGTGCACTGAAAAAGTACTATAGTCTATTTTGGTGCATAATAGCTTGTCATCACCTTAAAATGACAACTTCATACCTCATCAACCCCTTAAAGGTGCTGCATGTAAGTTTTCGACTCTTCCAAAGCATAAACATCCTATATTATGTTTGCAGATTTTAGCTAAGTGATCATTCTTGTTTATCTAAAAAACAATGCTGAAGTCAGATATTCTGCTTTGAAAATGTGCATTTCGTGCTGGAACGACTGTCTTTGTTTTGGTCATTTAAACAGCTCAATGCATTAGGTGAGCAGATTACATTGTAATCCCGTGTCCCATCAACACATTATGTGAAGAGATTTGCAGTGCCGAGCAATTTGGCAAACCACGACAGAAATTTAAATACAGCCATTCAGAAGCACAGAACAGTGCACTCGCTGCACTCCAACAAAATGGTAAGGTTTATAATGGATTTTACACAGATTAAACAGCTTTAACATTATTGAATGTAGATGCTGAATCACTGATATGTGTTGGTTTGCACTGAGTCACAAATCTGAAGTTCAATTTCAAACGTTTTCAAGATCTGAAGTGAACAATCTGCTGCTGCTGCTTTCAGTAGTATTGCAATAAATGTCATGCAAAATGGCATTCAAACTCACATTATTAGCATTTAACACTGAATAAAGCACATGAGGTGTACCTGAGCTGATCAGTTTATCCTGTTGTTCAGCTGCAAGAAATAGAAGCCAATCCTAAATCTAAATTTGAGGTGTTGGTTAAAACAAAAGCTCCTATTAATATGGAAAATAGTCCTTCTATCGTGTGCCATCGCTTTTATTTTCAACACCACTTAAATCAGCCTTAAATTTAGGCTCGACAGTCAGGCACACTCCTGTTGATGTTGTCAGCTGTGCTTGCGAGTGTTTCGAACCAGGAGTGCAATACCTAGTTCAGCCACTGGGTGTCAAACTTACATACCGCACCTTTAAAGTCAGCAAAAATGAGTGGTTTCTGAGATGTTGATTTCAGTGTGTTGATCTACAGTTGAAGTCAGAATTATTAGCCCCCTTTTGATTTTGATTTTTCGATTTTTTTTTTTTTTTATATTTCCCAAATGTTGTTTAACAGAGCAAGGAAATTTTCACAGTATGTCTGATAATATTTTTTTCTTCTGGAGAAAGTCTTATTTGTTTTATTTGAGCTAGAATAAAATCAATTTTTAATTTTTTAAAAACCAATTTTGGGACAAAATTATTAGCCCCTTTAAGCTAATTTTATTTTCGATAGTCTAAACAAACCTTCGTTATAGAATAACTTGCCTTATTACCCTAACCTGCATAGTTAACATTTTTAACCTAAGCCTTTAAATGTCACTTGAAGCTGTATAGAAGTGTCTTGAAAAATATCTAGGCAAATATTATTTACTGTCATCATGGCAAAGATAAAATAAATCAGTTATTAGAAATAGGTTTTTAAAACTATTATGTTTAGAAATGTGCTGAAACAATCTTCCCTCCATTAAACAGAAATTGGGGAAAAAATAAACAGGGGCGCAAATAATTCAGGGGGCTAATAATTCTGACTTCAACTGTACTTTCAAACTGAAATTAAATATTTAGTTGTTGGCCGGGCTTTCATGTTGTGCATCATTCCCTCATAGAAAACTAAAGGTAAGAGCGGGTATATTAATATGCAGTTGCTATGAAAACCCTCAAGTTGACCCCAACAAATAAACCAGCACTCCAAACAAGGAAGCAAATGATCAAACTTTCATTGAGGATTGCCAAAACAAACACATTTTATTCAGTGGATTAACTTGCACTGATTAATTGTTAACTTAAAGAATAAAAAAGGGCGCTAGCAAAATTTTAGCTAAATTTCACACACACTTTAAAGGGGACCTATTATGCTGCTTTTTAAAAGATGTCAAATCAGTCTCTGATGTCCCTAGAATGTGTGTGTGTGTGACGTTTCAGCTTAAAATACCTCACACATAATGTTTTATAACCCTTTGAAACTGACCCTTTAAGGCTTTAATTCTAATGTGCCATTTTGGTGACTGTCGCTTTAAATTTAAATGAGATTGTGCTCTTTTCAAAAGAAAGCGGAGCTGTAAACACCTGTGTGCCAGCATAGTGCAACATTCAAACACAACACTAACGTCCTATGCTAATGAGGGAGAGATGGTCACTAGTGGGCGGGGCTTTCCCCCTCTGATGACATGTACAAATGGAGAATGTCAAAGTGTTTCTGCAGACTGTCTTTATCAAGTGTGATTATGAAAAAACAAAATTAACACATTTCTATCATTAGAAGCTGGATATAATTACAGACTGTTGCCACACAACTGTGTTTAAACCCCTTATAATGCATTTTGTTTGCCTGATAGGTCCCCTTTAATGGGTAAATAAGGTACAAAGTTGAGTATTGTTGCACTAAAGGTACCAGTTTTGCACATTTGTTTTCCTATAGTGTAAGATAATGTGTGATTTGTGATGTCTCTATAGATGGAGTATGACTCCACCGACAGTGAACGCTTACTACATGCCAACCAAGAACGGAATCGTCTTTCCCGCTGGCATCTTACAGGCCCCGTTCTACGCCCAGGATCACCCCAAGTGAGCGGATATGGCTGAAACTGTTAGCATGTTGCTAACTAGCTTTCTGCACAGATTGTAATGTTTTGATGTGTCTCACAGAGCTTTAAACTTTGGTGGGATTGGAGTGGTCATGGGACATGAGCTAACGCATGCGTTTGATGACCAAGGTTAGTACACTTCCGAGTTTTGTTTTGTCAAATCATTGACGTTTGGTGGTTGAACAAATTAAATAATAATGATAAATCTGTTGTGCTATCTGAGATTGGCCTTTAAAATAGTAATTCAGTGGTTAGCACTGTCGCCTCACAGCAAGAAGGTCGCTGGTTCGAGCCTCAGCTGTGTCAGTTGGCATTTCTGTGTGGAGTGTGCATGTTCTCCCCTTGTTTGCGTGGGTTTCCTCCGGGTGCTCCGCTTCACCCCACAGTTTAAACACTTGCGCTTTAGGGGAATTGAATAAACTAAACTGGCCCTAGTGTATGTGTGTGCATGTGAGAGTGTATGGGTGTTTCCCAGTACTGGGTTGCAGCTGGAAGGGCATCCGCTGTGTAAAACGTATGCTGGACAAGTTGGCGTTTCATTCCGCTGTGGCGACCCCTGATGAATAAAGAGACTTAGCCGAAGGAAAATGAACGAATGAATGAATTACACATAGAAGACGTTTAAATAAGAAAATGATCAAAACCCATTTTTGAAAATTTTGAAAGAAATGCTAATGGTCTAATCCGATTTAATTCATTATGCTAAGCTAAGCTAAAAGGGACCCTGCCAAATCAAGAAATCGGCTGAACTAGGACTGGGCTGAAAAATGCAATCTCGAATATTGAACGATAACGATATATATTTTAATATAAGTCGTTAATGCTTTCAGATTTAAAAGAGTACCCCAACAATCACTGAATCCACAAAAATTAGAGGGTCTGCTAAATGACATTTTTGTCTGATAAATTTTTGGTGGCTGAAAATTCAGTAGATCTCTAATATTAACACACTTTTAGATTCCCATTGTTGCACATTTCTGCTGTGTGACTGGCTTTTAGATCAATATGGAGTAAAAAAGTCCACGGGTCCGTTCTTCGTACGTGGATTACTCAGTTAGCTGGATTTAGATATTGACGATTTGACACGATCCAGGATCGTTTCGTTCCTCAAAGCTGATCCGAGAGTTGTTGTCATAGCAACAGTTCTGCTAGCTCAAACCTGATCGGAAGCAGGTATAATTTATTTAAACAGGATTAGATCGGCTCAGTTAGAGCAAAGATAATAGAGAAAGCATGTACTGAATTCTGATGTTTTCTTACAGTAGTAGTTATATACACTTGGGAAAATAGTAAATATTTTTAACTATATATATATATATAAAGTTATAGTTATAAATACAATAAATAAAGTTATATATTAATAAAACTTATGCAATCTGCACCCCTGAAATGAAAGTACAAAGACTGCCACCTGGTGGTGCAAAGAGAAAACTTATTGATATGAACTTTTTAGATCGCTTTAGTACAAATTGTGTATAATAGAAATGCACAATATGTGACTTTTTAAAAAAAGAAATAATACATTAATGCAGTCATAAACATGTTTTTGATGCTTCACAAAAGTTGCAGACCCCTTTACCAATATCAAAATGCTTTTGTAAACATCCAGTTATTCTTTACACCGATTAAAAAACGGCTACTATGAAAAAGAAAATCTTTTCTAAATGTACAACTCAATACATTAATGTGGATTGAAATACATGATGATACTCTTGACACATGAAGTGTAAAGCTGCTGCTCACAACAAATGTGGAAGGTTATTGCGTGTCTTATTTAACAACCCGTTTACTGCTAATTTGATGTAATTTTGCTCACATGGATAATTGAATAAGAATCAGATGATGTCATTACGCTGTTGTGCCGTCAGCCAATCGTTGCATTGCTGATCATGATTTCGAGGATCGATAGATCTGTCCTTTACAACACACGCAGCGATCTCAGATCAGTTTATCCAGACATTCTAATCTGATTCGCGAATTTGTTTAAAGAACCAAATTAGCCAGAGATCAGTTATCAAGATTAAAAGATCTTGGATCTGCCAAATCATCTTAGATCAATTAAGCAAGGTACGAAGAATGAACCCCAGAGCTTAATATTGTTATTGACATAAATTTTATCGCAATTTAATATAATGTTGTTTAACGGCCCAGCCCTAGGCTGAATGTATTCAAAAATGGTTCATGTAAACCATCTAACTCTAGAAGACTTGTTTAAGAAAATTGTTTACTATTTACAAAAGAGGGCGGAGCTACAAATCTCTATGTGTCAGCATAGTGGCAGATTTAAAAACAAGACAAATGGCTTATGCTAATGATGGTGAGATCATCACCCTCATATGTGGGGCTTTCCACTTTTGATGACACATACAAAGGGAGAATGACAAACATGGTGTTTCAACACTGTTTTTATTATTAAGTGTGATTATAAAAAATAAAACTTAATAAACAACTGTTTCAACACATTATAAAAAGGGATTTTTGCATAACAGGGTCCTCTTTACAGTAAAACAAAAATATATGAAGTATTACTTTACAAGTGTCCTTCTTTTTAACAAATCTCTGCAAAGCATGCTTGATGTTGGGTTAGGTTAACAAAACAAATCTATTTTCAAATCGAGAAACTGAACAGAAAACGAGCCATTTCTGCTCCCTAATGTCAGTGAAAATTGCCGTGCATTTTATCAGACTATTGTGCTTTGAGAGCTCGAAGAAAAGTCGATATTTCATTATATGACCCTTTAATGCTTAATTCTATTACGCAGGCCGAGAGTACGACAAAGATGGAAACCTGCGCTCGTGGTGGCAGAACTCCTCGGTGGAGGCCTTCAAGAACCGCACCGAGTGCATGGTCGATCAATACACACAGTACACCATCAACGGAGAGCACATTAATGGAAAACAGACGCTGGGAGAAAACATCGCAGACAATGGCGGCCTGAAAGCTGCCTATCATGTAGGTCACATTTCATTTTTTTTTTAAGCTGTTTTGTTGTCGTGGTGTATAAAAGAAGCCTGCTTTTTTTACACCTACACTTTAATGTTTCCTGTTTGAAGATGAAAAACTACAGCAAAAAGCCTCTTCAAAGCGAGCTGTTCTCAGTAACTCCCTCAAACGGCTCAATTATAGATCAGTTTTGTTGTTTTAAGGAACAAACACGTCACTATATCCCGAATTTAAATTATTTCTGCTTAAGTGGACAACGGCTGTTTGGAGTATATTAGTAGTGGATCATAGATTTAATATCCTGATATTGCAGGGCTTGACGTATACTTCCTTGATGACCAGCCCCTGTGGCTAGTAGTTTTCTAACATTACTTAGCTAGCATTTTCACTAGCCATATTTTTGATGGGAAAAATTATTTTAAATGCATAAAATTTGACTTTGGCCTGCTAAAATTACTTGATTTAGATCTACTCCTGCCCTCTATTCATTTTTAGTTGAGATTACGTCAAACATTAAATAAAAGATGTACATTTAACTTCACTTCATGGGACCTTTAAGGCTTTTAAACCAAGTGGTTGCCTAGTAACACAAAAAGCACAGTGCACTGCTCTTTACTAATTTCAACAAAAGGCAATGTAAGATCATATTGTGATCATATTCATGGAGGTAATCACAGGAAAACAACTTTTAAAGGGGTAGTAGGTGATCTGCCTACATACCTACACGCTTTGTCCTAAGGCAAATACTGTATGCTTAGTGGTTTGCCGGTAGCATGCAGGAATTACACTTATTACTAAGCCATCCCTGCTGAAAAAGCCAGCTTAAACCAGCCTAGGCTGGTTGGCTGGTTTTAGCTGGTTGACCAGCCTGGTTTTAGAGGGGTTTTGGCCATTTCCAGGCTGGTTTCCAGCCATTTCCAGCCTGGTTTTAACAGGTCTGGCTGGAAAATGACCAGCTAAATCCAGCTAAAACTAAACCAGTGAAACCAGGCGGGTCAAGCTGGTTTTGGCTGAGCTCCCATCCTGGCTAGGCTGGTCAAGCTGGTTTTAGCTGTTCATCTCCCAGCCTGACCAGCTAAGACCAGGCTGAAAATGGCTGGAAACCAGCCTGGAAGTGGCCTAAACCCCTCTAAAACCAGCCTGGTCGACCAGCTAAAACCAGCCAACCAGTCTAAGCTGGTTTAAGCTGTTTTTTTCAGTAGGGATACTTACAGTACATGCTATTTCATACAGAATATTGAAAGGAGCACAGTAAACAATATAGGGAGCGCATCACAGGTTGTCAGTGTTAAAAAATAAACCATTGTGATTATAAAACCAACTTCACCTCAGTAAAGCAGGCTAGATGGAATAGTGCTATTTACTGATGTTTTGTTGTTAAACTAAATAAAAATCTACATCATCGATGCTGTAAAAGGAACATTATGAAACTACTGAAAATAGTTGCATCACCCTGCTGAAAAAAACAGCTTAAACCAGCCTAGGCTGGTTTTAGCTGGTCGACCAGCCTGGTTTTAGAGGGGTTTTGGCCATTTCTAGGCTGGTTTCCAGCCATTTCCAGCCTGGTCTTAGCTGGTTAGGCTGGGAGATGACCAGCTAAAACCAGCTTGACCAGTTTAGCCTGGGAGCCCAGCCAAAACCAGCTATGTCCAGCTTAAACCAGGCTGGTCAAGCTGGTTTTAGCTGGATTTAGCTGGTCATTTTCCAGCCTGACCAGCTAAGACCAGGCTGGAAATGGCCAAAACCCCTCTAAAACCAGCCTGGTCAACCAGCTAAAACCAGCCAACCAGCCTAGGCTGGTTTAAGCTGGATTTTTCAGCAGGGCAATCTTTCGCCTGAAGATTTCAGTGACTGAACAACACTTTTGTGCATATGACCCATTCGTAAAACAACACAATCTACATCAGCTTTGCGTGACTAAATTAGTTTTAAAACAGAACATTACCTGTCTAAAAGAAATACTTCAGCCATGGTGTCGTCCTTCCTCCAGCGTGCAAAACTAACTCCAATATTTAATCAGGGTTTTAAAAAGTTTTGATTCAGCATTTGTTTATACCGCTGTCACTCGTGTCCATGTGAACGGCAACCATGCCCAGTTGTAGTAAAAACTAGTCTCATCAAAACAGGGCTATTCCAACAGCTGGTAAACAAACATCCACATTTTCTTCACCGCTAAATGCTAAAATTGCTAATTAGCTCTATGCTAAGTTGAGGTTTCTAAATGATGAATGTTTTATGACAAACACAGTAGTATTGTGGATAGCACACTGTATTTTGGATAACACACGTTTGGTAAAGGGGTTTAAGGTGTAGTAACCCCAAAAATCAACAATTCTGTACTGTATGCTTCAAGTGTTTTCTTCGAATGGAAGGGACTACAGTTAGCAAAAATTCATGACTATTTATGAATCAAGACCTCATGGCATTAACATCATTATGAATCTAGATTCTTGTTTGTAGTAAAAATCCTTATTAATGCCGTTTTTTTAACATTTGTGTGTCTCCTTGCTCGGTTTTGCACGCATCTCGCTGCTGTATTCAGAGAAAACTCTCACAGCTCTTTTTTTGTAATGTGGTCCTGAAAGATCTTAGTTTGAAGGGCTATATGTCCCTTCCCCTTATGTATCCAAACTAAGAGGTAGAACTGGGATTTGACCTTAAGCTCTATTTTACTGTGGCCCTTCAGATATAAACAGCCCTGAGGTAGAAGATTCTGAGATGATTCTGTGGCTCCCTCTTCTGGAGATGGATATAATCAAGTGTCTTCTTAGCTGAATGGGATGTTAATAAAGACAGACGAGTGACTTTGAGATGTTTGTTTGGACAGGCGTACAGGTCCTGGGTGCAGAAGAATGGGGAAGAGAAGAGACTCCCAGCTGTCAATCTGACAAACGACCAGCTCTTCTTTGTGGGTTTTGCACAGGTATGAAAAAATGCATGACAACGTCTTCGAAAATAGTATTGTGTTGAGAACCGAATAGTTTTACTAACTCATTTCTAATAACTGATTTATTTTATCTTTGCCATGATGACAGTAAATAATATTTGTCTAGATATTTTTCAAGACACTGTTATACAGCTTAAAGTGACATTTAAAAGGTTAACTAGGTTAATTAGGTTAACTAGGCAGGTTAGGGTAATTAGGCAAGTCGTTGTATAATGATGTTTTTTTCTGTATCAAAAAAAATATATATATAGCTTAAAGGGGCTAATAATTTTGACCTTTAAATGGTTTTAAAAAAATTTAAATTGCTGTTATTCTAGCCAAAATAAAACAAACAAAACTTTCTCCAGAATAAAAAAAAAAAAAAATCATATGGAAATATTTAAAAAGTAAAAAAAAAAAAAATTAAAGGGGGGCTAATAATTCTGACTTCAACTGTGTGTGTGTGTGTGTGTGTGTGTGTGTGTGTGTGTGTGTGTATGTATGTATGTATGTATATATATATATATATATATATATATATATATATATATATATATATATATATATATTTTTTTTTTTTTTTTACTTGTAATTCATTGCTGACAATACAACAGCACATTATTTATTCGTGATTTTTATTGTTTTTATTATTATTATTATTATTATTATTATTTTTTTTTTTTTTTTTTTTTTTTTTTTTTTCAAATTAAACACATATTCCAATTTTGGTTCCTGCAACTCATTTAAAGAAAAGTTAGAACAGTAAAGCATTTACCACTTTATAATGTTGTCATTCCTTTTCACAACACTTAAAAGACGTGTAGGGACTGAAGACACCAAGTGATGAAGTGTTTCAGATGTCATTTTATCATATTCTTCCTGCAAACAAGTCTTAAGGTGGGCAACAGTACAAGGGTATTCGTTGTCGCATTTTGCGCATCAAAATGTGCCACACATTCTCTATTGGAGGCAGGTCGGGACTGCAGGCAGGCCAGTCATGTACCTGTATCCTCTTCCTTCGCAGCCAGGACTTTGTAATGTGTGCTGAATGTGGTTTTGCATTGTCTTGTTTAAATATGCATGGGTGTCCCTGGAGTAGAGGGCAGCATATTGTGCTCCAAAATCTCTAGGTACTTTTCAGCACTAATGGTGCCATCGCAGAAGTGTAAGTTAGTTTTTTTCCAAGGGCACTGGCACAACCCCATACCATGACAGACCCTGGCTTTTGGTTGCTGGTAACACACAACGTCCATTTCTCCCTTTCCACTGTGTGATGGTTCATCCCAAATGTCTCCAAGCCCAAATAAGTCAATGGCGCTTCTGGACACTGTTAACATAGGGCTTTCTTTTGGCACAGTATAGTTTTAACTGGCATTTGTGGATGTAAATACGTATTGTGGTACTTATCAAAGGTTTGCCAAAGTAGTCCTGAGCCCATCCCCAGTACATTCACGATATACCATAATAAACAATAAAATGTGAGTTCTGGTTGTGAAAACATGTTCTCCATCATACTCTTCTTCTTCTTCTCCTCCTTGTCTTTAGGTGTGGTGCTCTGTCCGGACGCCAGAAAGCGCTCACGAGGGCCTGATGACGGATCCTCACAGTCCGCCCAAATACCGCGTGATCGGCACCCTGTCTAACTCACCCGAGTTCGCCGAGCACTTCCAATGTCCGCTGGGCTCCTCCATGAACTCAGGCCACCGCTGCGAGGTTTGGTAGGATTAATCCCAAAAAAACCACAGCGGCTCGCTTGCGCAGACCAGCCCGGCCAAAACAATCAAAACACAGAACGGACCGTCCGTTGTGGCTCTTTCTCAAGCACTGTTTTTTTATTTATGTGCTTCAAAAAGTGAATTGAGGAGGAAGCAGCGAGCTTGATGTTCTCCAGTATCAAATTTTTCCTTTCTGTCGCTTTATTTATTTGTTCGTTGAACTTCGAGGCCTGTTTCTGTGCTCATACTCCTATCATTTACAGCCAGAGTCTTCTGAATGAGCTCTGTGACCTCACAGGAAACCCTCTGCGGCTTCACAGGAAGCTTCACGATGACCTCATGGGAAGGAAGAAGCTTTCCAGGATTAAAGCCTTTTTTATTTCCCCCCTGAAGGCAATTTTTTGGTTGAAATGCTGTTAAATGACAGGAAGAGCCACCGTTTGATCATCACACGCTTCCTGTATTATGGTTCGATCTCGACAAAGTTGAAATGAAAGTGTTCATTTTAAACTGCTGGGTTTTTTCTTTTTGCCAAAGAACGTTTCGTTTGGAGCTTCGCCCTTCAGTAATTCATTCCTGTGTGTGTTTTGCTAAAGAAATTTGCTTGTGTGTGTGTGTGTGAACGCTGTGTTTCTGTGTCTGTAAAAGGGACGTCTTCACGTTGCGCTGAACTTCGTCGAGTCTGCTGAAACGCTGATTAGCATGATGCTAATGATGTTTTGTTGAGAAAGCCACGCAAAAGAGTGAATCTCAGCAGAGTTTCCATCACATCTCGCACCCAAAATAGTAGATTATTATGATTTTACCACCAGGATAGTTTTTCCATGTAATTTTTAGACGGTTTAATACATTATTTCAGCTAATCTATACATTTTTATTTGGTAACTGTATATAAATTACAGCAAACATCAACAAAATGTAATGTAATAAATCTTAAATTATGTATTACATAAACTTCTGTTCAAAAGATTGGGCTCAGAATTGTAAAAAAAAAACTTTTTTTATTTAATAATTAGGCAAAGTTCGTTAAAAGTCATTAAAAATTACTTAAAAGTCATACACTTCCTGACAAAAGTCTTGTCGTCCATCCCAGTTGCAAGAGATAATCTGTTGAACTGTATCCCAATCATAACATATACAGCAAAAGACCTGTCTGATCCCGCATGGACCCAGGATTCTCATGGAAATCAGTCAAGTTCGGTATAGAAAAATTCATGGTTTCGGGTAAAATTCAGTATGGGGGCGTACAAGAGATCTGCAGAGTGGATGGCAACATCAACAGCCTTCAAGATCAAAACATTTTTGCTGCCTATTACATTACAAACCAGGATTGGCCAGCCCAGTTATCTGATATGAACATTATTGAGCATGTCTGGGGTAAGATGAATCCAAAGAATCTTGATGAACTCTGGGAGTGCTGCAAGAATGCTTTCTTTGCCATTTCAGATGACTTTATTAATAAGTGATTTGAGTCGTTGCAGAGATGTATGGATGCAGTCCTCCAAGCTCATGATACAATATTCATTCTTTCTCCACTGCACCATGACTTTATATTCTATACTGGACATTATTTTTGTGAAGTGACAAGACTTATGTCTTAGCAAAGTCAGACCTTACTGTCCTAATTTGATAATTAATCAAGACATGATTATATTTTATTTAGGTAAAATAAAGCATAATCTAGAGCCCTTTGCCTTTCATATAAGACACTTCTGATACAAAATGATCAACTAGAAGTCAACTTATTATTTGTTTTTCCTAAAACTTAGATAGGCGACAAGACTGTTGTCAGGTAGTGTGTGTTTTCTATACATTATTTTGAAATATGAGAAATTCTTGATGTGTTTTTAGAGATTCACTCCAAAGCTTTTTCCGTCATCGTCTGTTAAGCATCCCAGCATGCCTAGAAGTGTTTCAGGGTGTTGCGTCATTGTCTGAAAAAAGCAATTCAATTACTCAGCCTGTGTGATTCCCATCTCCAGCATTTCAGCTGCTGTAAATCCAGCCCGCAACTACATAATAGTCTGAACGTTTGTCCTGTGTGCTGTTGTGGAGTGTCCATTGGCCAGTTTTGCTTTGGAGTCTGGTTTCTTCTTTCCTGAAGCAGGCCGGATTAGATTTTTTAAAATCATTCGATGTATTCTGAATGCTGCTGACTTCTCTTGTTGTTGTTTTTTTTATTTGTATATTTTTTAATCCACAGTTGAATTGCACCATTTTTAAGTTTTAAGTCTTATTCGGATGGGACAAGTTTTCCAAATAACGTTTTTTATGGAATATAAATGTTATGTGCAATTTTAAAAACGTAAAAGAAAATCGAATGTAATCATAATTTTACGAGGGTACAACTCCAAAATCTGCATTTAGAACAGACGAAGACATGACATTTTTGTTGTCTGTTTGTGTACAACTTATGGTCGGTGTTTATGTACTTTATAAACAGGAAATGCAGTTTCGCCACAAATACGAAGTCTTGACTATAAATATGAATCAGAGAGCGACAACCCACTATCCAAAATACATTCTGTTTTCTTTTACATTTTTAGAATTACAGATGCATGGATTCGTTTTATCGTTTTACGCATTTCGTTTTTATCGTTACATACAAGAAATGCAGTTTCATTCGAACACAAGGTCTTGACTATGAGTGCGAATCAAAGAGCAACACTCCACTGTCAAAATTGTCAATGTTGTAAAATTATGATTATGTTCTGCTTTGTTTTACGTGAAATGAATCAATGATATACAATAAAATGAAATACACAAAATGTAGTTTCATCAGGACACAAAGTCTTAACTATGACTACGAATCAAAGAGCGACACTCCACTGTCAAATTACATCATCGCTGTAAAATTACAATTACGTTCCTTTTTTTTTACGTTAAATTAATCTATGAAAATTAATAAATTGAAATACACAAAATGCGTTTTTATCTTGAACACGAAGACTTGACTATGAGTATGAATCAAAGAGAGACACTCCGCTGTCAAAGTTATATCACTGCTGTAAAATTACAATCACATAACTTTTTTTTGCTTAAAACGAATACGTGAAAAATGATCAAACAAATTGCAGTTTCATCTCGAACATGAATTCTTGACTTTAAAGACAAATCAATGAGCGACACTCCACTTTCAAAATTATGTCACCACTGCAAAATTACGATTACCCACCGTTTTTTTTAAATGTTTCTATTATTTTGTGCATTTGTTTTATCATTACATACATGAAATGCAGTTTCATCACTAACACAGTCTTGACTATGAGAACGAATCAAAGAGCATTACTCCATTGTCAACGTGAAGTCACAGCTGTAAAATTACGATTACATACTGTTTTCTTTTGCGTAAAATGAATCCATGAAACACAATGAAATAAAATAAAATGCAGTTTCATCATGAACACGAAGTCTTGACTATAAGAACGAATCAAAGAGCAACATTTCACAGTCAAAACTGTCACCGCTGTAAAATTACGATTACATCCCTTTTTCTTTTGTGTAAAACGAATCCATGAAAAATTATGAAAAAATACGAAATCCAGTTTCATAATGAACACAAAGTTTTGACTATAATATAAATTAATGAGCAACACTTCACTGTCAAAATTATGTCATCACTGTAAAATTACGATTACTTACAGTTTTCGTTTACGTATTTAGAATTACACATGCATGGATTTGTTTTATCGTTTTATTAATTCGTTGTATCGTTATATACATGAAATGCAGTTTCATCATTAATACAAAGTCTTGACTATGAGAACGAATCAAAGAGCAATTCTCCACTGTTAACAATGTCACAGCTGTAAAATAACGATTAAACACTGTTTTCTTTTGCGTAAAACAAATCCATGAAACACTATGAAATAATCAAAATGCAGTTTCATCAAGAACATGAAGTCTTTACCATGAGAACGAATCAAAGAGCGACACTCCACAGTCAAAACTCTGTCACCGTTGTAAAATTACGATTACATACCGTTTTCCTTTGTGTAAAACGAATCCATAAAAACGAAATAAAATACACAAAATGCAGTTTCATTATGAACACGAAGTCTTGCCTATAAGAACGAACCAAAGAGCATCACTCCACTGTCAAAATTGTCACCGCTGTAAAATTACGATTACATACCGTTTTCTTCTGTGTAAAACGAATGCATAAAAAAACGATGAAATAAAATACACGCATTGCAGTTTGATCACAAACACAAAAATTTTGACTATAAATACAAATCAAAGAGCGACACTTCACTGTCAAAATTGTCACCAGTGTAGAATTACAATTACATACCGTTTTCTTTAACGTTTTTAGAATTACACATGCATGGATTTGATTTATGCATGAAATGTTTATAGAAGTTATTCCATATTCCATGTTTTGAGTTACAATTCTTTTCATTCTACAAAATAATTATGTTAATGGATTCAGACAACACTACAAAGATTTGTGCCTTTATAGGTGTTTTGTCTTTGTTTAACATGCAGGCATTAAACAAGACAAAGTTTTACAGGATACATAAAAGTACATTTCAGCAATATAATTGGAAAAACTGAAATTTGTGAAATTTTGATTTTAATTGAGTATATTTACTTTAAATGTAATGTAAAGTAAAACATCCTAACCTGTTTACTTTTTAAACAATTTACAAAAGTTTTTATATAAACATAATTTACATTTAACAAAATTTTAATGTGCTGGTTTTATAGCGTGTTGTATAATTAAAATACAAATATACCAATAAATACATTTTCATGTTACGTAATTCACTGCAGAAATGAAAGAATGCTTACATGATAATAAAAAAATGTAATAAAAAATGAAATCAACAAGAAGAGCCAAATCAGCAAGAGCCAAATTACATAAATATTAGAGTTGCCAATCGTAACAATTTATGGGATTTGACTTTTCTTGTTGATTTAATTTTTTATTTCTTTACATGGTAGCAAAACACATCTGCATCACACATGCACATCCATTATTGGTGTGCAGGAGCCAAAATGAGATTGTATGTTAGTTCACATTAATTAAAAGAAAACATGTTTTGGAAAATAATAATTCACCAATCACAGATTTTCGCATTCATAAGAAATTAGATTACTCATATCATTACTGAGTTTTTTTTTTTAAAAAGTAGATTGATTTGCTCTGGAATTGTTAGTTTTCGTGTGAAGAAAAATACAGAAATGGCAGGGTCGTACAGGATTAAAATCACAATGTGCATCTGTGAAACTGAAATTTCTCTGACGTCCCCCAGGGAAACTAGTCCCATCCCAATAGGGCTTTATTCCCACAACTTGTAAACAAACATTCACACTTTCTACACAGCTAAAGGCTAATAGTGCTAATTAGCTCTATGCTAAGATGAGATTTCTGAATGATGAATGTTTTACTGCCCTGAAATCCAACGATTTATTATTGTCGACAAACACTGTAGTATGTGGATAACCAACACAATCTCACGGCAATTCGTAACTTTTTGATTTAGTGGCTAATTCGTATGAATTACTGCGATCTAATTCGTACAATTTAGTAGGATTTGCTTATCACCCAATGACGGTTGGGGTTAGGGGTGTGGTTAAGTGCCACGCCTCCTTTTTAAAAATTGTACATTTTAGTACGACCAAACTTGTACGAATTGGCTACTAAAGTGTCAAAACGTAAAATACTTACGTTTTCTCTTAAGACCAGGCTGGGATAACACACGTTTAGTAAAGGTGTTTAAGGAATAGAACCCCAAAAATCAACACTTCTGTACTGTACTGCTTTGCAGTGTGTTTTTTGAAATGGAAAACAGCAGAATGGATATTTGTGTTGAATATCTTGTTTTGAAAAAGTCATGTGCTGGATGGAAGCTTATTTCTGTCACAGAACATAAATATTAAGATTATGATAATTACAACTTTTTTCTTCCATATTCACGTGTCTGAGAATTTCTGCTACCAAAAACGAAAAGCCTAATAAAAATGTTACGTTTTTTTAAAGAATTGTGTTTTATCGTACAGTTTTTATTTTTATTTATTTTTTTGCTATTGACAATTTTGTTTCATTATTGTGACATTTTATGTAAAAAAAATTGTGAATTTACGACTCAGTAGTTGTGAGTTTAATTAATAATTGCGAGTAACTGCAAGTAAACTTATTCCGACTTTAAGCATTTCAAGTTTTTCTCTTGTTTTTTTTTCTTCTTGATTGTATGCGATTGTGGGTTTATATTTCCCAATTCCAAATTTCTTCTCAAAATTTCATCTTATTTGAAATAAATATTTCACAATTCTAGTAATTACAACTCAATTTTAACAAATTTTTTTGTTAGTTTCTTTCAGCTGTTGCAAGTTTTTATCT